CCCCCCCAACCTTCTATATGTTGGGTTTGGCTTGCATGTTTTTTGTCACAGAATGCATAGCACCGAAGCTGACTGTAGGATCCTAAACTTGGTGAGGGGCGGAGAAGGGCAATTGGAAATAGACAGCTCTCTCCAGGCGACACCCCCATCGCGGCACAGGGGAGAGGGCGCTCTACCCGCCTGCCAGTGGCCCCAGGCGCTGCCTCCCCAGAGCCGCTCCTCCTCACTCCTGGCATTGCCTGAGCGTGTTTTGATGAGCGTGGATAGTTGAGACTACCAGTTACAAGATAGGACATTCTGGATTCTTATTTTAAAAAATACACGATTATCAAACCATGTCATAGGTCTTCACCCCACCTTTACTTTAGGTTTATAGACATGTAATATCCCAGTTCCAAGGGTTATGAAAAGGAGAAATTACTAGGCACACATTTATTCAAATTTTTAACTACTGTTTATTGGGTTTATTTTATTTGCCAGGGAACAAGCTGGGAGCTAGGATAGAGCAATGAGGCTGCTTTCTTTATTTCAGAACCGCTCTAGACTCTACTCTAAATTTTTTCCTCATTTGTACATGAAAGAGAGATTTTTTTCCCCTCACCCTAGAATCCCCAGGTCTTTTCGTGGCTCTGCTTAGTGAGCTCTTCCCACACCTTGGTTGTATTTTGAGAACTTCCCGCGGCGCCGCCTCTTTCTCCCGGAGCCGCCCCTTTCTTCCTCCCCGATGCGCTTTGGTTTGCTGCCCTGCATTGTCTGCCTCTGCCGGGTACAGCCCTTCACACAAGGGAAGGACGCTACGTTATGCAGGTTTCGTGTGATCTTTGCTCAGGATATTTATCCTGCGGCTGTACTTTATCACCTGCCTGCTCCCCTCATCGCAGCACCACCACCACCAACCGCAGCAAAAGATCCTGTTACTGTTTTATTAATATTTTAAAAATCCCTCTAAAATAATTGCAACTTATAAATGGATAAGATCTTGTTACTATTAATATTTTAAAAATCCCTCTAAAATAATTGCAACTTATAAATGGATGTATCACAGTCTCTCTTGCAGCTCCTAGTTAGGGATAATTCTTAGTCCGGCTATTTATTTCTGGCAGTATTGATCATGATAAATTCTGCCCTCTGAGTGTGCACAGCTTTGCAAAATATGATTATATTTCCTGTATATCAATGGGAGGCCAACAATATTTGCTAGAAAAAGCCAGTGATTTATTCTTACAAGATTTGTATTAACACCATTTTTCTGGGAGCATATAAAAATTAATTCCTCTGCTGTTTATATTTTCTTCTAGCTGCCATGGGTTGTGAGCAGTTCTTACTCACATTTCTGTGCTGGATGCCAAAGCAGACAGAGATAGAACTTCATTCATGAACTGCAGTGAAAATAAACATTTATGTTTGGGTTTCAAAAAATTAATATTTCATATTCAGCATTTGCTTTGCAACTACCTTAGAGGTGAAGCCATCCATATAACAAAGTGTATCTGTTCTCTGTTGAGTAGAATGAATTCGATTGTGTTATATTTAATAGGAATGTCACTGCCTTTGTGATTTATGTAAATTGCATTTGTCTCAATAATATTTGACCAAGTTGCTTTAGGATATCGTTTAATTTTAATAAAAGAAAAATATTCTCATCACTATTCTGCTCTTACATCACTTTATAGATGATATTTGACATGAACTTGCTGTATTAGTTTGCACCAGAGAATACATTTGACTAGTTTGTCAATTAAATATGTCTAGTTTGTAGAGACTAGGTTTGTCCTAAATTAGAGGCTAAAAGAGAAAAAGAAAACACTCACTCTATGATGGACTGCCATTCTCTTGTTACAGAAAGTTGGCTGTGATGGTTTCTTGGGGTCTCTTGCAAGGGAAGATCATTGTGGTGTATGCAACGGCAATGGGAAGTCCTGCAAAATCATTAAGGGAGATTTTAATCACACCAGAGGAGCAGGTAATTATAGTTTTATATTTTCAAAATGAATCATTTGAACAATCTTTGGGGACAGAGATTACGTTGAAAGTGACTTAGAAATGTCAGTTCTGAGTCTACTGAAGACTGTAATGGGTATTGAATGATTTTTCATGATGACATACAATACATGTGATACAAGCCAGAAATTCTAACAAACCCATTTCCCAATAATGAAAATATGAAGTCATCTGTTGTGCATTTAATAAATTGGAGCAGCAAGGGAATAATCTAATTTGCATGGGCAAATGTTATCAGGTTTCTACAGACTTATTCTCAAATGCAAAGCGTGATGTCTCACAGAGAGTAATGATTTGTTACAGCCTCAAGCCGCTGTTCAGAGTATCAGAGTATTAGGCTTCAGGTTTTCAGCTCTCCATTGTCTTTATTTTTTCTTAACATTTTTCTAAATTTGAAGGGAATAAATTTTTGGAAACACTGCAGCATGGTGGAAACAATAACAAGGGGGTGTCAGAAAATGAGGGATGATGGTCCAGATATATCAATAGTGGGAATTCATCCTCTATTCCTTTGTTTTTTTCATCCATAAATACTAATACCCAGGGGATATGAGAATGAAGTGAATATAATTGATCTACATAGTGTGAGTTTTAAAGTGATCCACAGCAAAAAAAAGTAATATAATCTATACTGAAATATAATGACCCACAAGTATGCTTTATAAACAGCAAATGCTTTATATACAGGTCCTCAAGCTTATTGGGAGGAAGCAAACATTTCTTTGTTTACATGAGTGTCTCACCTGGACATCTACCTGCTGAACTCTTATTATTTGTGATTATATTTTCATCCATCATCTTTAGTATGCATATATTACAAACATCACCTTTTTCCTATTTTAAATTCCTTTCTTGGTCAAATACCAGAAAACTTGAGACTAAAATATATATTCATTTTAATACAAAAACAAGCCATTTGTGTTTGAATAATCAAGAAAACTGAATTCATTCTAGATAAAAGAATCCTTCAGAAAAGAATATTAGACACAGCCCCCTGAGGTTGAATATAAGTATTTGCTGGGTCCTAGCAGAATAAAAGAAACTTCAGCTTACGATTTTGAAGCCTAACAATAGCTAAGGCCCAGAGTAAATTACAGAACAAGATCTCAGTCTCCAAAGCTGTGAAACAGGTGACAGGTCCTCCGAGTCAAAATCTGCCATAACTCACTTAGAAAAGTCATATGGAGCTGTAACAGGCTCCCAGACTCTCAGCTAAGAAGTGCAATTATAATAAGCTTTTCAGCCTGATTGTGATGGCAGAAGTATTTATAGTACAGAAGGTCAAATGAAGTCTGAAAGACTAAAGATATAAAGATACTAGAATTTTTGAAGAATATTCTTGCATAGTTACTTAACATGCATGAAACAGTTCACCGAAGAGGACTGATGCACCCTCGACACATATCTTTCACTGTAATAACACTTGGTTTTTCCACCAAGCATAGAAAAGACAAATACCAGTTAACAAATCAGTAATGTTTATCATTCTGACTGCAGTTATGCGAGTACATTTTTCCAGGTTCCTATTATAAAAGTTGTTTCAATTGTGCTTTAATTTCCAATTTTGTTCATTTGTTTGTTTGTTGTAGGTAAGTTATATTAATGGCATCTGTTAGTTGGAAAATGTCTGAGATCCCTAAGATATTGGAATTATTGGAGACTAATAATATTGCTTTCTTCCTGAAACTCTACGCCAGTTTCCCATTGCTCACAAGAAAGAGACAAGAATTCTTAACTTGGACCATAAAAACTGTCCTGCATGACGTTGTCTCTACCTGTCTCTCCAGCATCATCTCTCATTAAGGTCCCCTTCCTTCTCTAAGCAACAGCCAGCAGATGTCTTTTAGATGCTCCAGTCGACCTCATTCCCTCCAGCACCTTGCATTTAAAAATATGGTTCTGTTAGCTTCCCCTTAGCTTTGCCTGGTTAACTCCTGGCCGTCACTTAGATCTCAGTTCAAGCGTCACTGATTCAGTGAAGTGTTCCCTGGACAACCTCCACCTCCTGTCACTAACAACTAGTTTAGTGATGTTTACCATATTTGTATCTGTGTGGTGTAGCCCTGATCACGTTTGCAATTGTACATTCATTGGTCTTTACTTCCCCACTAGGCTTTAAGATCAATGAGAAAAAATATCGTGGCTACTTTTGTTCAGTCCCATAGTCTCAATGACAGGCATAGTGTCTGACTGTTTAATATTTGTCGATTTAATTAACAGTGAAACATTACATTATTAAGAACTTTACAAAACAAAAATCTGCATGAGTCCTTAATTATATTGTGGGCTTCGTCTACTTGTGAATTTAGGAATGCTGTATTCATTTCCCTTGAGACAATTTTATCCTTATGCTTTATGGACTTCCTAGAATTTCTTGAAGGAACTGGAGCCTTCTTTGGTCCAGTTGGCCATGCACACTGTGTATGTTGTATGAGTAACACATGTGCAGACACATGTGGGTGTTTCAGTCCCTGTGCTCTATTTAGTTTGCTTAGTCATTTTTGTTGGAGCTAGAGAATAAACTTAAGAGGAATTTTTTTTTCTTGTACATTTATCACGTCTTTCGTTGTAACTTGCCTAGCCAGGAGATAATTTTTTAGAGGAATTTTTAAAGGTAAATTGTATATTTGACCAGTTGTGGAACTACATAGCTATCAATATACACCAAGGAGAAAATGGCATAAAATGTGTTCTTAGTATAAGAGCTAAGGATACCAATCCTGCGTGAGGAACTCAGCTCTTAGACCTTTTGTTTGTATCTTTGCCATGGGAGTAGGAGAGTAATAGTGTCATATATTCTATTTTATAAAATAGTAGCAATGGGTCATAGCTGGAAGCACATAGTGGAATCAGCTCTGAGTTAAAAGCTTGGGTCAGCTAATCACTGACAGTGCGGTCTTGAAAAAGTGATTTTTTTCTGCCCACATCTGTTTTCTCATCTATTATGTGAGAAATGTAATATCTACCTTGGATGTTATCATTATGATTAAATGTAATAATTTATATAAATAACCTATGATAGTGACTAACACATAGCCTTTCTCAAAATATGGCATTTTTTATTGTTATTTACCATGAAAATAATGATTGCTGTTGGCATTTTAAGATGGCTGATTAATAATGGATCTCTGGCTATAAAACAGGATGGGATTTTCCCATGTACAAAGCAAGCTGTCACAACATGAGGATAAGATTTATGATTTGATGTCACAGGCTTTATTCCAACTTCTAAGCTCGGTGGTAGCTGCTCTTATATTTACTTCTTTAAAAAATGTAATTCTCGATTGTGCTAAAAGGCTTACTTACTGAAAAATACCTAGGCCCCCAGTCATTGGCTATCATTCTTCAAATGTCTTCGCTTAACATTTTTCTTCCTCTTTTCTTTAAACTCAGTTTAACTCACCTATCCTCCAAGCCATTCCAGTTGAGTAACAGAAAATTGCTCTGGATAGAACTATAAACTTAGGTATAACTATTGTCCTAATGTAAAACATATGGCTGCGTTTACTGCTAAACTCAAACAGGAATTTCCAGTTACTACCTACCCAGTCTTCTTTTTTTAACATCCTAACACTTAGCTGAATTCGCTTACTCAGAGATTAACAGTTACCTCTTGATTGTGACATCCAGGCACAACCTCCTTTGCCACTTTTCTCTTTGATGTCTCTAAAGTTTATGACACAGTTGACCAACAGCTCTTCTTGAGATTATCTAATCCACGGAGTCCCGCTACACCAAAATAGCCAGATCTCCTCCTTCTCAGGGTTATTCCTTCTCTATATTCTTTCCTGATTTAGTTTTAATCTCTGTTAAAAACTATGACTGTTGCCCTGGCCAGGAAAGCTCAGTTGGTTAGAGCATAGTCCCCATACGCTAAGGTTGCAGGTTCGATCCCTGATCCCCGGTCAGGACACATACAAGACTCAAACAAGGAAGGCATAAATAAGTGGAACAACAAATCTCTTTCTCTCTCTAAAAGTCAATAAATAAAAATTAAAAGTAAAATTGAGAGATTTTCAATTGAAGAAAAACAAACAGCCCTGGCCAGTGGCTCAGTCGATTAGAGCATCGTAACAGCCCTGGCCAGTGGCTCAGTCGATTAGAGCATCGTAACAGCCCTGGCCAGTGGCTCAGTCGATTAGAGCATCGTAACAGCCCTGGCCAGTGGCTCAGTCGATTAGAGCATCGTAACAGCCCTGGCCAGTGGCTCAGTCGATTAGAGCATCGTAACAGCCCTGGCCAGTGGCTCAGTCGATTAGAGCATCGTAACAGCCCTGGCCAGTGGCTCAGTCGATTAGAGCATCGTAACAGCCCTGGCCAGTGGCTCAGTCGATTAGAGCATCGTAACAGCCCTGGCCAGTGGCTCAGTCGATTAGAGCATCGTAACAGCCCTGGCCAGTGGCTCAGTCGATTAGAGCATCGTAACAGCCCTGGCCAGTGGCTCAGTCGATTAGAGCATCGTAACAGCCCTGGCCAGTGGCTCAGTCGATTAGAGCATCGTAACAGCCCTGGCCAGTGGCTCAGTCGATTAGAGCATCGTAACAGCCCTGGCCAGTGGCTCAGTCGATTAGAGCATCGTCCCACCACCAAAGGGTTGTGGTTTCAGTTCCTGGTCAGGGCACATACCTGGGTTGCTGGTTCTATCCGTGGACAGGGCACATGAGGGAGGTGACCAACTGATGTGTTCTCTCACATTGATGTTTCTTTCTCTCTCTCCCTTCTTCTCTCTCCCAAATCAATAAAAAACATATCCTCCAGTGAGGATCTGTAAAAACAAACAAACCAAAAAACACAACAAACTATGACTGTCACCAAGGTGGAGTTCTCCCTTGATTTCCTCCACTTACTTCCATGGCTTGAATGGCTGCCTCTGCAAAGATGCCTCCCGAAGGTACCTCAATAGTCTGCCCTTTCTCCGGAGTCCCAGATGTTCGGGATTCCTACTGGATATGTTCACTAGTGTGTTCCCCCATTTCGTAAAGTACAAATTCCAAAGCCGAGCTGATCAGATTCTTACTACCACTTGACTTTCACGGTGCTGTAAGCAGTGGCCTCATTCTCACATAAGTAATAATAAAGCATGGAGTTCAATGTTTATTTTCCCACTTTCTCTTGGTTCTCAAGTTCAGAATTTTTTTTATCTTTCACAGTGCCTTCTGAAATTACTACCCCGGCCTCTACCATTCTTAGAGTTTTACATTAGGCTCCTGACACTGTTATCCACAACCATATTGCTGGGTATCTTGCATCCCGCTCTCCAATAAAGCCTCTCAAGCCAGTATCTGATTATCAAAGATAAAGTCCCCCTCACCAGCACCTGGTTACCAAGTTCCTTGCTGTCGAATGTTCAGTAGCTGCAAACTGACAAATGCAGTGCCCCGGGCATACGTTAAAACTCTCTTTACTGGACCCATCTTCTTATTCTGTCAGAATTATTTTATTCATGTGCTCCTAAGGATACCACTTGCTCCCTTACTTTTCTTTACATACAGTGAATTCTTCCTTTTTCTATGTGTATGTGTGTATGTGTATAAAAATATATATATCCATATCCTATCCAGTCTTCAAAGACAGTTCATCTACTTCTTTGTGATGCTTTCCTTGACTGTAAATTGTTCTGTCCTCTGAATCAGTGGTTCCGGCTGAGGTCAGTGTTTCTCAAGCATGAGTAATGTATATAACCATTTACAAGGGAAAAATAAAAAATAAATCCCACTTCTGTGAGTTAAAAATAGCAGCAAACCTTTTGAGTGATGATGTGATCAGAGAAGGGGGACAGTTTAAACAACATGGTTTATATCCTTTAGCAGGGAGTTAACGGTATCATTTTGCATATGATCTTTTAAACATAATTTTTGAAGTTTTATTTAACTCATATCTATATAAGGTATTTCTGCTTTGTCTTTCCAATTCAATTGAGTGCAGAGACCTTCTTGCCTAATTTCTGTGTACAAGTAGGTGATAAGCAGGTGTTTCTATTTTCATTGCTGCCTGTTTGTTCATGTAACAAAATGACAGTGCTTGTGTGGTTTGGTATTACTAACAATGGTGCAACTGAATAAGCAGTGTTTGCTAATGGAAATTATGATTCTAAAAGCATAATCCCAGCCACTGCCACCAGGTGGGGTGTATGCTACCTTTTGGTTTATACCAAATAATTGAAACAATTTCAGGAATTTGAATAATTAATCAGTAGCAGACAACTCTGAGATGAACTATTGTGCTTTCAAAAGTAGCTTTGAAATTAAACTTCTGTCAGATATATGGAGCTACACACGTATATTCAGAGAAATATTAAATATTATTTCAATATAAGTTTAAAGCTAAAAAGGTAAGTAGCTATATTTTTCTGCACTAAATGAAGTCTTGATCTTGACTTTTTCTGCATATTCTTCCTTCTGTCCCACATTGTCTTTTCACCTTATTTCACTTCAAACTTTATATTCCTAAAATTCTGCTGAAATACCTTTCCTGAGAAACAACTAGTTGTGTTTTGCTTCTAGCTGTCGGCCACCTTCCTAGGTGACACTAGATTGCTTGGTGTGGCCTTACAGCTACTTGTCTAGATCCCCAATTTCAAAACCCTTTGTTCGTCTCCGCAGGGAAAGGTGGGTCTCTTCTGTCCTGTGCTCAGCTACTCCGGGACCTGATGCCCTTCCTGGTGCACTGCCTTCTCCCCCCCATTTTCTAACTTAAATGAGGTCCTTGAGCAGAATCTGAGGCTATTTGCTCTGTGTTTCTAACCCGGCTGTTTCATTGTGCTTTTTCGCCTCACAGTTCATAAGATATCCATGAGCTTTGACACAAAATGCAGTTGTCTGTTTGCCCTTGATAGTGCTGTGGACTTAACATCTTTCCCAGAAACTTCTCCACTTGAAATTATGACAGCTTTTGTACTTAAAATTTTTGTTTTGTTTTGTTTCCGTAGGTATTGAAATATCAAAGCAAAAAACAAAACCAAAGGAAGAAAGGGCAAGTCAACTAAGAGACGAGATCTCCTAAGATCTCGAGATTTATTTCATGATTTATTGACCCTTGCAGGTTATGTGGAAGTGCTGGTGATACCTCCTGGAGCAAGAAGAATCAAAGTCGTGGAGGAAAAGCCGGCACACAGCTATTTAGGTAACCTGTGTTACAGACCAGAGCCCATCCAAGCCCGAGCCCAGCTCCCTGCCCTGAGGGTGCGATGAGACAAGGATGTCAGTCTGTTTCTAGTTAGATGTGTGAATTTCCCAGGAAGCACCTTTGTCATATCAAGTAGAAATTTCTTTCCAGGGACTTCCCAGGAGCAAAAGCAATCTGGTTGTCTATGTGTTTTGGAGGGGTATAAATTGATTCCACATGTTAGTCCATGTTAAAAAAACAGACACACTCATTGGAGGATCTGGGTGTGTTTTATTTCATATGTATGCATTTGTATAAAACATTTCATAAATATATTTATTTCATATATATACACATATGTATATATATCACATATGTAAATGCATATATACATGTGTGTATGTATAATGATTGCTTTAGACTCAGGAAATCTTATAGGATTCTTAAAAAAAATTTTCTACATACTAAACAGACTTAATCTTTTAATGGGAAATAACGTTCTTTCTTGCCTCACCTATGTAGAGAGCATTTAAAATTTTTAATTATTGCTTGTGGAAAGCATTGTATCAGCTATTTTAATTAGGCCAATTAATTATTTTTAAATATATGAAAGCAAATAGTAAATTGTCAAAATACATATTGCTTTGTATGTTCAAATTTCAAACTAAGTCATGAAATGATCTTTTATAATCATGGCATCACAGGTAGAGGGCTGACAAAAACATAATATTCTCCCAAATTTAAACATTGTATTTATAATGCCTTTTTTTTCCTTAACAAAAATAATGTCCTCATTATTCTTTCTCAAATAAGAAATAGTATGTCAATCGAAAGACACTTTGTACATGGTAAAAAAATTCAATATTACGTGGTTGTTTGTACTCTACAATATTGAAAATTGCCTACACTCAGATTGCATTATTTTCCCTATTAGGGCTTGCTTTCTAGGAGTAGGAAGATTTGAGGAAGTTTTGTCATGTTACACACTCATTAGTTTATTACTAATATTTAAGTTTTTTGTTTTTACCTTCTATGGTTTTAAAATGCATTTTAGGTGCAAGTAAATCATTTCAAATGTCCAAATTCAGATTAAAGCTCTAATACCCAGTTTTTGGAGACACTGTGCAAACTCTAAACAATTTCAAAATATTCATTCGATAGCAGACATTTGGCATTACACTGGGGATTTCCCCCAAGCTGGAAAAGACTATGGGTGTCTCCAACGGAGTTATCTCAGAGTCTTCAGAACTCTACGCTGCACTATGACTTTTAAAATCCTGAAAAATGTCGCTAAATGCACAAGCCAATTTTTTTAATTTTAATTTTTTTTTGTTTAAATATGTCTTTAGTGATTTCAGAGAGAGCAAGGGAGAGGGAGAGAGAGAGAAGCATCAACAATGAGAGAGTCATTGATCGGCTGCCTCCCGCATGCCCCCTGCTGGGGATTGAGCCCTAAACCCAGGCACTTGCCCTGACCGGGAATCGAACATAGGCTGATGCTCAACTGCTGAGCCACGCCGGCCGGGCCTCAAACCAACTTTACAAATGGGAAATCTCCATGCTCTCTCTAATTCCTGTTTCCCAGGCTCTTCAACAATCCAGTCTTGTGTCTGTCTCCCTTCTACAGTCTAATTGCCTTGGTCAAGATCAGCAAATGCCCTCCAGATTGACAATCCAACGGTCACATGATATTTGACTAATAAACAGCATTAGAATGGTTGCTCAGTTCATTAAACACTTTCTTCTTTTGGCTTCTAAGACCTGATGCCCCCTAACTCATTGGATATCCCTTACTGGTTTCTTTTGTAGCATTCTCAACCTCTACATGGTTTCCAGATGTTTCTGTACTGTGGGCTCAAACCAGGGCCCTGCTCTCCTTCCTGCTATATTGTCTCCCTAGGGAATTCCATCTTGTTCCATTACTTCCCATGTTTATTTTCTGCAAATTATCAAATGTCTCCTATGCACGTCAGAAATAACCACCTCAGAAATCATAAGTTTAAATAAAAAATTTTATTTCCATCCCATGCCGAAATCTCTTTCTCCTTTGGTTTTCCCCATTATAGTAATTGCCACCCTATTAGTGTTTTATGACTTCTGTAACAATTATCATGAACTTGTAGGTTTCAAAAAAATAAATGTATTCTCTCACAGCTCTGGAGGCCATAATCAGTTTCAGTGGATCAAAATTCGAGGTGGCTGCAAAGCCATGCTCTCCCTGGAGGCTAGGGAAACTTCAGGGCCTTGCCCCTTCTAGCTTCTGGTAACTATCAGCATTCTTTTGCTTGTTATTACATCATTCCAACATCTGCCTCCTTAGTGTCAATGCCTTCTCTTCTTTTTCTGTGTTTAAACCTCCGTCTTCCTACCTCTTATAAGAATACGTGTTGATTGCACTTCAGGCCCAGTTGGATAATCCAGGATAATCTCCCCATCTCAAGATCCTTAACCTAATCACATCGGCAAAATTTGCTTGTTTGTTTGCCTATTTGCCATGTAAGGTAGCATTCTAGGTTCCAGGGATTCAGACATGGGTATCTTTTTTCTCTTCGCTAACACTTTTTTTTTAATTGTGGTAAAATGCACATAAAATTTACCATTTTAACTGTGTTAGGTATACAGTTCATTGGCATTGAATACGTTTGTTCAGTTGTATAACCACAGCCACCGCCATCCATCTCCAGAAATTTCGTCTTACAAAACTGGAACTCTATACCCATTAAATGTCAACTTCCCCTCCCCCCCCACCCCCTGCTACCCACCATTAAGCTTTCTGTCTCTGAATTTTACTACTCTACACACCTCATATATGTCAAATCATTACAGTAAGTGCCCTTTGGTGACCGATTTATACCACTTATGGGAGTGTCCTCCAAAGCTCCCCATGCTGTGTCGTGTCAGCGTTCGCTTCACTCTTCAGGCCGGATAATGGCCCATCATCTGTATCTATCCCTTGGTGCCCTTTCCTTCCCTCAGCCCCGGGCGCTTGGCCTTTTGCGCCTTAGCTGTGTGAGCGATGTTGCCGCGAGCACGGATGTACGAATCTTTCTTCAAGCCCATGCTTTTCACTCTTTTCATCATATACCCAGAAGCAGGATTGCTGAGACCTATGGTAACTCTGTTTTTAATGGTTTTGAGGAACTGCCACGCCCATTTTCCATTCCCACCAACATGGGCCCGGGTTTCTGTGTCGGGGGTGCTCTCTGCCTGCTGTGCGTTTCAATAGTGGCCTCCTGAGCTCGGGGTGCTGTCTCTGTGCGGGTTTCACTGCATTTCTCTCATCATCACAGAGGCTGAGCCTCTTTTCGTGTGCTTGTGGGCCATTTACATATATCCTTGGGAAAATGTCTATTTTAATTCTTTTTTCCATTTTTGAATTAGGTTGCTTGTTGGTTTTTTTGTTGATGAGTTTTAGGAGTTCTCTATATGTTCTAGATATTAGTCCCTTATCAGATACATGATTTACAAATATTTTCTCCCATTCTGTGGGTTTTTATTCTGTTAATAGTGTGTTTTGGTGCACAAAAGTTTATGTATATGCAGTTATTTTTAATTTTCATGAAGTTTAATTTGTCTCCTTTCTTTTATTGCCTGTGCCTTTGGTGCCAAGAAATCCCTGCCAAATTTAGGGCCGTAAAGCTTTTTGCCTTATGTTTTCTTCTAAGAGTTTTATAGTTTTAGGTCTTACATTTAGATCTTTGATCCATTTTGAGTTAATTTTTGTATATGGTGTTAGTTAAAAGGTCCTACTTCATTGTTCTGTTTGTAGTTACTCAGTTTTCCCAGCACCACTGGTTGAAAGACTGTCCTTTCTCCACTGAATGATCTTGGCAACCTTGTCAAAAATCATTTGGCTATGGTTTATTTCTGGGATCTGTATTCTATTCCATTGGTCTATATATCTGTTTTTTATGCCAGTAGCACACTGTTTTGATTAGTGTAGCTTTCTAGTAAGTTTTGAAATCAGGAAGTGAAAGTCTCCAGCTTTGTTCCTACTTTTCAAGATTGTTTTGGCTATTTAGAGTCACTTGAGATTCCATAGGAATTTTAGGATAGTTGTTTTTTTTTTAATTTCTGCAAAAAAAATAAATAAAGGCCATTGGGATTTTGATAAGGATTGCATTGAATTTGTAGGTTACTTTGGGTAATATTAACATCTTAACAATATTAAGCCTTACAATCCATGAAGCTGGAATGTGTTTCCATTTACGTCTTCTTTCATTTCTTTCAACAGTGTTTTTTAGTTTTTATTGCATAAATCTTTTACCTCCTTGGTTAAGTTAATTCCCAAGGTTTTTCTTCTTTCTTTTTGATGCTATTGTAAATATGATTGTTTTCTTAATTTCATTTTCTGATTGTTTATTGTTAGTGTATAGAAATGCAGCTGCTTTTTGTGTGTTGATTTTCTACCCTGCTACTTTACTGAATTCATTTATTAGTTCTGTGTTGTTTTTTATAAAATCTTTAGGGTTTTCTATATATAAGATCATATCATTTGTGAACAGAAATAATTTTACTTCTTTCTTTCTGATTTGGATGCTTTTCGTGCTCCTGAATTTGGTTTTCTAGTATTTTGTTGAGGATTTTTACATCAATGTTTATTAGGGAAATTGGTCTGTAGTTTTTTGTTTTTGCAGTGTTCTTGTCTGGCTTTGGTATCAAGAAAATACTGGTCTCATAGAATGAGCTAGGAAGTCTTCCTTGCACTTCAGGTTTTTGGAAAATTTGAGCATTGATGTTAGTTCTTTAAATGTTTGGTAGAATTTACCAATGAAGCCATAAGGTCCAGGGCTTTTCTTGGCTGGGATATTTTGATTACTGATTCATTCTGCTTACTAGTCTTTAGGTATATTTAGGATTTCTTTTTCTTTGTGATTCAGTCTTGGTAGGTTTGGTGTTTATCGGAATTTGTTCATTTCAATGAACAATTTGTTAGCGTACAATTGTTCATAGTATTTTTTACAGTCCTTTTTATTTCTGTAACATCATTTGTAATGTCCTCACTTTCATTTCTGATT